GCTATTTTGATTGATTCTATGAATCTTTCTATATATCTACACACCCACACCCACACCCTCCTTACGACCGTTATGCTGCCGTAATTAAGTCAAACGTTCGTAGATACCTGAATGAAAATCATAATGTGATCACTACTTTTGAGTTTGTCGAAGCATGTCACTCATATAAAGGCATCAAAGGTGTTTTAGCATCTGATTTTCGGGTTGAGAAAAGTCAATTTAAAAAAAGGGAGTAGCTGTACAATTAAACAAATAACAAATTATCATAATTTCGAGTATCAAGTAAAAATTCTTTTAGTACACCGATCATGGGACATTGGTTTCTGTCTTTTGATACCTTGGTTGTGGTTAAGTCAAGATCAAACTATTTTTAATCTATCCTTAAGCGAAAGAAAGAGTTTCATCCATGATTGGGTGCAAAAACAAGAGAAACCTGATGATGAAAATATGTAGACGATTGTCATGTGAACGAGATGAGCTCAGTGCAAAGCTATGTTAAACAAAAGAACATATATCAATGTGATGTTGAGGAGAGCTGCAATGCTGAGTTCATAAAACTTGGAAACTTCATTAATCACATACTAATCGGTAAACATTGTCGTGTAGAAGAGACGTTTTCACTGAAAGATACAGCCATGAAAATATATCATTCGAAATTAGAAGAAGTTGAAAATAGACGAATAATATCTGTTGATATGAATTTAAATGAGCCTGTTACTAATGAAGTGAGTCTTCTTCCAAAAGGATGGGCTTTGCCCGTAAGAAAACCGAACACAGAGTTTTCAGAAAAACAGCGTAGATATCTCAAAGAAAAATTTGATGAAGGTGTTCTCAGCGTGACACATTGGAAGCCGAAAGAGGTAGCGCTAGATATGGAGACTCTTAAAGAGAATGGTGAGTTTTACTTTGCGGCTCACGAAATTCTAAGTGAAAGCTAGGTTCGATCATATTTTTGCCGTCTAAAGCAAGAAAAACAGATTTTGACTGTTCAACAGTCATCAGTTGATCAAATAATCAGCAGAGAAAAAGTTCTTAATTATATTGGTAGTACAAATGATGAAGATGAAGAAACTGATTCCGTACTAAGAGTGTTAGAAGAAGACTTTCAAGATACTGAAAGCGCTGTTGAAGAAATAACAGTATTGGAAGAACTTTCGATGAATGCCAAGAGGGCGCTTGAGTCATCTCTTTTGATGAATTCTACAGTCATAGCTTCCTCTACAGTTTTAACTGATAAAAATGAAACGTAACATGGAGGCGGGTGTATCGAATAACGTCCATATTAACACAATAAATGGGCACGGGTTTCCCGAATACTGCCCATTGATATCAGATAACATGACTTGATTGAGTGCGGGTTTACCGAATAACACTCAAAACAATATTGGGACACGGGTTTTCCGAGTAATGTCCCTCCTCTTCAAGCAGGATGGGCTATACGCGCCGAAGAGGAGAAACACGGACAAGGTTTTCCTTAGCCGTGGCCAACAATCCTGCCTCTTTTATCAAGTAAGTATGTAACTACTTACAGATTTATAGAACTGCCGGTAATTCTTGCATATACACTAGCGGATTTGCGCAATGTCGCTGTCTCTCTTTGTATGACATGATGCTTGTCTAAGCTTATCTAAACAACATTAGCTTCTTATGGTAAAATTTGTCTTAATTTATTGAATGATATATAATGTACTCATATAAAAAGTAGTTTAGATAGTTGATGATCTATATGGCGCTACTCTTCGTTAGAAAAAATTACTTCCACTGATTTTCCTCATAAGTGTTATCCACTTGGTGAACATGGTCCGTCATTTTTTCGAGTAAAAGTGAGACTTTTTTCTAATGATTGTGTAGAGGAGAAAAAGTTGTACAATATATATGAAAATCAGCGTGGGATTTTTTGAAATGGCTGAATGATATTGAATACACTGTGATAAACTACAAAAAATTGACTGTTTTTTCAATTGGAAAATGAGTACTCACGAACAGTATTTCGTAAATAACTATAAATTAGTCTGCACAAATATAATATGTAAATAGGTAGTTTTGTTCCGCTTTCGATGCTCTATCTTTTGGTATGTAACACAAAAAATTTTGTTAAACTATTGTTATCTAAAACAACCTCAAGTTTATAGGACCGATTTTTGACCATATCCTTGAGATATCCTTGTTAGTGACCGTTAGTAAATTTCAGATAACTTTTTACCAGCTTATCCAAATGCGTTAAAAGTTTCGACTTAGAGATTTTAGATGATGCTGAGCAAAATGAGAACATCAAAACAAAAAACTAAATTTTGACGAGTGCTTCGGTTATAAGTACTGTACTTGACGGTCTCACGGGTCCTCTCTTAATTAACATCCATAACGCAGAGACACACCTACACCTACTGACACCCGCACCCCACACCCACCAACCCTTTCTCTACGGTTTACATTTGCTCGTATGGTGTGGGAACGCATGGTGAACAGACAGACAGACATTCCTATTTATATGCATAGATATAGATAACCGTGAACAAATAATATAGAAGATGATCTTCGTTTTCTTGTCAAATCTTTATATCATACTCACATGTCACGCTATATGATGTATTTAAGAATGAAGTGAAATATGATAGCTAGTTATTAAAGTTAGTCAATGCATGTGACATTAATAATATATGAACCATGTTTAATGAAGTTCGTAGTCATCTGTGCAAGCGCGTGCAGGACAATTTGGTGGATGAGGTATTTCAAACACTAAGAAATCACCACAATGTGTGCTGCGAATCGCTTTAGATGATGAACAAGGATTGCCAATCTCATCGACGTAACACAAAGTGCTAAGTGACGTTGTTCCAGGTTCTCTCGGATAGACGCCAAGTATCCATCCAGCTTTTACACTACCACAACGACCGTTAGGAGCTTTTCTGACGATGGCAGTACCAGCTCGATCAACAAAGCGCACCCATCCTACCATATCACGATCACAAAGATCACCTTTGCCTGAGTTAACACGACGAGTAGCATCACCGCTAACGTTGTAGCTTGTACATTCGATTGGCAAACCTGAATAATGACAATAAGTTTTTCAAATCTTTAATAAATGAGTAATTCAACTTTGTATATTCAGCTATGCAACTATTATTCGTGTAATTAATCGCCCACACGAATATGATAGCACCAAAGAACTGTACTGCCCTCCTCTCATTACAAATACGATAAAGTCTATTGTATCAAATGTTTCGAGAAATTGATGAAATCCCGTTATAATGGGTATTTGTAAAACAAGCGAAAAACCCCAAACCGAGAGCTGATATTGTCAGTAGATAGAGGTCGCCGAGTTGGCTCTACGAACAGCCAAAATGGGTGAGCATTAGAAAAATTTTCCGATGCACACTGATTTTTTCAATCCACGAACACCCATATGTTTTGCCTGTGAGTAGATCTACTCGAGTTATATATATACCCTAAATATCAGACTCTTATCATTTTGATTAAGAAAAATAACATACGAAAAAAGCAAATTTTTGGTAATTTTGGTGATTCATAACTTTTGTTCAGGATGAGATAGAGGTCTGAAATTTCTACTGTGCATAGAACAATCAAAGATGTATATCCACTCAAAATTTCAGTTATATAAGTGGTTCCCTTTGGTCAGGACAGTTCTCTCAAAAATGGATTTTTGATACATTTTGAGGGTTTTCAGGATAGACTATCTCTCAAAGTAGCGGTCACTTTTGAACTTAATCTGTAGAAATCGGAGGTACTCTATTAAGTCTACAATCCTACAAAAATATTAGCGTGGTATTTCTTAGAATGATTCTACACTCTAAAAAAATTGGTTTTCTACTGAACCCCGAAAAAAAGGTTCAGCAATTTGGAAATAGCGTCCAAATGGCTCGAGATGCTAAAAAAAATGATTATTCAGTTCTACGAAATCTTTAAAGGTTCTTTCCCTTGATACACGGGCCGAAAATTCTCCTGCGAAACCCTTTTTAAGTTCCGTAAGAAAACGCGAAATCCATAGAGTTTCGTATTAAACCTCAGTGGTTTCTTACCAAACCTGAAGAGTTTGAGAGTTTCTCATACGGAACTCTATAGGTTTTCGTGTTTTCTTACCGAACCTTTTTTTTCACTACAGAACTTAAAAAAAGGTTTCGTAGGAGAAGCTTTGGCTCGTGTATCAAGGGGAAGAACCTTTAAAGGTTTCGTAGAACTGAATAATCGTTTTTTAGGCATCTCGAACCATTTGGACGGTATTTATAAACTGCCGAACCTAATTTTAGGGTTCAGTAGAGAACCAATTTTTTTTAGAATGTAGGAGACTTATTGCAAAAACATCAAAAAATGAGCACTTTCCCACAGGTATTGTATCGAAATTGCCTTAGAAATTTCTCGAAGGATACCGTGCTTTGAGATAAAGCCTACCGAGTAAAAATCAACAACGTAGTTTCTATTACCTCCAATGAAAATATACTTCAAAAATCAAAAAAACATTTCTCGAACATTGCCGTACCCCCTACAGACCCCTTAAGATAAAATGGTTTTTCCCTGTAGGGGGTACGGGAATTTTCGACGAATTTTTTTTCTGATTTTTAAGTATATTTTCATTGGAGGTAATAGAGACTACGTTGTTGATTTTTACTCGGTAGGCTTTATCTCAAAGCACGGTATCCTTCGAGAAATTTCTAAGGCAATTTCGATACAATACCTGTGGGAAAGTGCTCATTTTTTGATGTTTTTGCGATAAGTCTCCTAGGATCATTCTAAGAAATACCACGCTAATATTTTTGTAGGATTGTAGACTTAATAGAGTACCTCCGATTTCTACAGATTAAGTTCAAAAGTGACCGCTACTTTGAGAGATAGTCTATCCTGAAAACCCTCAAAATGTATCAAAAATCCATTTTTGAGAGAACTGTCCTGACCAAAGGGAACCACTTGTATAACTGAAATTTTGAGTGGATATACATCTTTGATTGTTCTATGCACAGTAGAAATTTCAGACCTCTATCTCATCCTGAACAAAAGTTATGAATCACCAAAATTACCAAAAATTTGCTTTTTTCGTATGTTATTTTTCTTAATCAAAATGATAAGAGTCTGATATTTAGGGTATATATATAACTCGAGTAGATCTACTCACAGGCAAAACATATCGGTGTTCGTGGATTGAAAAAATCAGTGTGCATCGGAAAATTTTTCTAATGCTCACCCATTTTGGCTGTTCGTAGAGCCAACTCGGCGACCTCTATCTACTGACAATATCAGCTCTCGGTTTGGGGGTTTTCGCTTGTTTTACAAATACCCCGTTATAATTATGTTTTAGTGTCGGTGACGATGAAACATAAACTTATTTTATTTTATTCGGAGATAATTCAATCCTTTAGTTTAATTAGTGAACATAAATTGTTAAAAACTATTGATTGTCGTCAAAAACGTTAATCGAAAACATTGATTTATGCATATTGTATATCAAATGATAATGTTATCACAGATGCGAAGCAGAACGACAAGTACAGAAGGTTAAGTACGGAAACAATAGGCATGCGAATGATTACTATGGGAATAACAAACGCACAGAAAGTTTAGTGTGAGAAAAGTTAAATACGAGAACGATCAACAGTGAGAACTTAAGAATGGAAAGAAATCAAGAAAAATATGAAAATTGAAAAAATAATAAATAACTATTATAAAAAGTTAATTCGAAAGTTTCTATTCCTCTCTGTAAAATAACGTTATTTATATGAAAATTACTACAGATAGTTAATTGAAATATATAGTTTTGTAGAGAATGTAAATGCCATCATTCGAAAAATAAATGTTGAAATTTTGTCGTAGTTATGGAAAGTTAGGATCGTTTTATTTATGATGATTAAACATTTAACGCATTATATTTTTGTAGAGACAACATGGATATAATGTCCGAACTGTTATATTGTTTTCCAGGTGTTTTTATACGGTTTCGATAGAATTCGTCAAGTTCTGCAAGAATATGAATATTAAAAGAATTCTAATGTTGCTTCCGACACTAGACTTCGAGGAAATCAGAGAGAATAATAAAAATTTTATCGTTCATTAGAGTGTGGTGCACTTTCAGCATATGCTGATCGACTATTTTGTCTTCTTATGATGCTTAATAAATGGGGGAACTTCGGATTTTATCCGAAAGTTAAATGTACTGCAAAAAGTGAATGAGACAGATTGAGTCATTCTAGAATGCCACGGCAGCAAAATTATCGTGAGACATCTTTTCTATAAATACGACTTCTATTCATTCTTGCACCTCCACAAAGATTTAGAATAGAATAAAACTCACATTTGCACTCCTCACCTTTAACTATTCTAACAGAACCCTTTTTTGTCATAAGTTGATGTAGATGGTTACTGCTCAACCGATGGGGCTTTGAAGCAAATGGAGTACAGATTCAAGTTCTCTGACCCAGAGAAACTCGAAGTAGCATACGTATGATTCGATAAAAGAACTCGAATTATGGGCTTCTCAGGCCATTGACAATATTCCAACCACTTCTTTAATTTTGCTTGCTTTATAGATCACTGAACATTCTTATTCATTTACACATTAGATACTATTTTGTAGCAGATAAAATTCTCTGTCATAGGATGTATAAAAAAAATAGTGGGATTGTATTCAACTCTGATGGAAAGGTTTCTTACAAAAGCGACGATATAACGATCTTCCCATAGAAAATCATAGGAATAAATCAGTATTTTTGCAATAACTCCCTAAGAGCCTATCCAATCAGCCTCGTGTTCGAACTCGTCCGAAACATTAATGAAATTGAACCGTGTGAAAAATTTCATCAGGTCTGACTCTCTCTTCAAAAGTTATCATGTAAACGGCCGGCCGGCCGGACGCACTGATCGATTCTAAAGTGGACTCACTTTTTGAGTACACTCAAAAACAAGAAAGAATAAATAAATAATCAATATCTCTATCTATGTCACCCTATTCATTGACCATTGACTCTACTCTTAGAGTGACATAATATCTTTTATTTAGTGGAATTATGGTCGTAAGCAACCTCATGAATTTATAAATGATATATGATAGATACAGGCATCAGTATTTTCTCAATAAATCAACGATATTAATTACTATCCAGGTCAAAGTTTTACATTTCGATAGCCATTTTGACTATCTACAAAACCAGGTATTTAAGAAACCACCAACTACTGATCATTTGAGACATATCTAGACAATTTGGGTTCTGGATGCAGCTTTTATGCATTTTTCACACCTTTTTCAGAGTATGTTTCATTAGAAAATTAAAATTGATTCAAGACTAATATCAGATTCAGAATCAGCGTTAAAAAATGAGTCGATTTATGTATTTTGTGAAATCACAATTTTTTCGGTAACTCAGCCATTTCTTGACGGATCCTTCTCATCTTCGAACTCGACCGAGATATTGGCAAGACTAAACTGTGTAGAAAATTTCATCGCAATCTGACTTTCCTTTCGAGATTTATTATGTAAACGACCTGGCGGACGGACGGATACACAGACCGATTTTAGTAGTGTACTCACTTTTTTAGTACACTAAAAATGATGTTTTCAGGTTCAGTATGTAATATTTCATCTTGAAACATAAATTAGCATTCGATTAACCAGAGTTATTGAAACTCAAGCATACTTTAATGCAAAATATCTGGAATTTTTATTATTTTTCTGATTTTATCTAAATTTTGTATTGGGAAGAAAGCTGAAAATTTCTTTCATACTCATATTCTTGTAGAGCTGATTGAACTCTGAGAGAGACCGAAACGAATAAGAAAATCTCTATTCGGATTCGATGCCACCCAACCATCTTCAAAAAATATTCTAGTCAGATTCTATTCGTTTTTCGGTCTCTGAGTTCTATCAAATCATATCAAAATGTCTAGTAAAAAAATGCAGAAAACGGTGTTTCAATCAACTTAAAAATGCCACAAATATTAAATTTTCTTTTTCTTTTTGCAAAAGATGTAATATGTTAAATGTTTACTCATCATGAATAAAATAATCCTCACTGTTCATAACTATGACACAATTTCAACTTGTTTTTTTTTAAACGATAGTTCTCCCCATTCTCTATAAAACTATATATTTCGAGAAAGTTTCAAATCGTCAGGCGACGACTTGAATAGACAGAAACAATCAGGGCTTTCATCACATTAGAAATATGAATATCTAAAAATACGAGATGTTGTGATGAAATCTACAGGACGACTATAATGGTTAATACAGGTAGTTCGTAACAGCTGCAGAGCTCTTGCTACGAATCAATAGAATTTTGTAATGGAATATATTTTAGTATTGCTTCATTTACATAAACAAATTACAATGAGTTTCGTAACGAATCGTACAGAGCTTTCATAACAGCTACAACAGGATTTCTCAGAGTATATTTCTAAGGACGTAACAGCGTCAAATCAGGGTTGTGGTAACGAGTTTAATAGAGAATACATAATCGTTCATTCAGGATTTTCTTTCCATAAAAATATAGTGTTCGGGCTAGATTGGAGAGTTATCGTAGCGAAAAATCAGGACTGTCGTAAGCAATCGTTTTCCCTCTGTGTATTGTCACTTATATTTCTACATTAAAGGATCGTACGAGAACCCTTTGTAAAGAATTATGATAATCCTCCAAAATTGATTCCGAAATACCTGTAACTGACAACATGATATTGTAAAATGGCACATATCAAAACAGTGATTACGACTACCCTATAAAAATCGTTACGAAACTTTTGATTCTGTCGTGATGAAACTCCTGTTACGGGCTTTCGCAGCGAATTGATAGTACGAAAGCCATATAAGAAAAATCGTAACTAGTAGAAAATTTCCATGCATCATCCTTGTTGTGATATATTTTGCATAGGTCGGAGTGATGATCCTTACTTTGACGATATTTTCCTAGTCCAAGTGATGCAAGCATTTCATCAAATTCTTTTTTAACATTCCATGAAGGTGGCTTTATTTGTTGATCAGCTGATCGATTAGCTCGATTTTTCCATCGACGTATTTGTTCCAATGCATGTTTAAATAAAGTAGGTGGAAAATCTAGAAAGATTTTTCCATTATTGTCGCGTTCAATCAAATTGAATTGATTTGTATCATCATTCGTAAATATTGAAGCGAGAATTGTATTTGGTATATAAGTCAGAGTCTCTTGTGTAGCATACATTAGTTCACCACCTACGTTCAGTTGTAAAACTTTGTTCCTATGTTCTGCGAAAAATCTATTTCTGGTGCTTCTTTCTTCGTGTAGCTGACTGGATAGGTTCGATGAAGATTCTATAACTGTACTATTTGCTTTTGTTAATAAAAACAAAAATATAAAAGCCATTATGCACTATAATAATCAGAAAGAATGAGAATTCTTCCGCATTTGGCTGCAAGTAAAATATTGTACGAACTTTTGTCAACAACAGTTTAAAAGGACATGGTCAACTATTAGAAAATACGAATATTTCAGAATTTATAACTTGCCACGAGCTATTGCTACAAGATAAGTGACATTTCAGATAATGAAACGATCATTAAATTTCATTTGTTTGAATTTAATCGATTAAAATTTTCGTTGTAATCGAAAGTATTGGAAAACATCAAAGTCAATGACTGTTTCATGATAAAAATGTCACTGTTTATTCATTAAAGTTCCTATGAAGATAACAATGATCAAATTAATTAGAAAACAGATGTGCACTGTTCGATACGCACTAACATAAAACAAGTTTGGCTTTCATTTATTTCAGTTTTTAGCTTAATTGATGCTGTTTTTATCGAGTTTATAAATCTAGTGGCGATTGGAAAAATATTTTCAATTTCATGATAAAAGACACTGTAAATGTACAAATATGCAGCTTATTCATTGGAAATTTGATTATAGGAATATGTATAGATTCTTATAGTATTGATAAACAGTCATCACTAAGTTGTAGTTTTTGTATTAAAATAAATGCATAAGATGTCTCAAAAGCCTGTTGAAAAAGTTTACGTTAATAACTCCTAAACAGTTCAAATGATTTGCATATTTTTTTTAATAATCAGGATACATTCTTGAAAGTTCTGTTCTGTATATTTCAGATAAATGTTTATAACAACAAACCTTAGAACAAAAATAGTTTTGTTAATGAGCAAATTCGACTCATTTATGGCTGTGAAACGAAAAGTACAAGTCCAGTTTGAAAACAATACATCAAGTGAAAAGTGGATTAAAGTTATATTTCAACCCTTCTGTCAAATTGGTACAGTGGAATATCGAAAACGTTCTAGAAGTCTGTCAATAATTACAGAAGAAAATATTGATGAAGTTAATGATGATTTTCAGTATCAACTATAAACGAGTGTTCGATGTGTTATAACAGTCTGCTCCATTGTACGAACTACGACTGTACATCATTTACTTGAATCGCACAAAATACAATTTGGTCAAAAACTCTATCAAGAGGATTGCAAAAAGGAGTTGGGACATGTAATACTCTGATACCAATGTTACAACATCATCAGATTCAGCAAAAATCATTTTTTTCTGACGAAGCAAACTTAGATAGATTTTTATCAACAAGCATAGAACTAATCCACATTTTACTATTGAAAACATTATGCAATGTAGTACATTAAGCGTTTGGCGTGTCATATCAAACACTCCTTTAGTGGACTACTTTTCTTTGAATATGATGTTACTAATGGAAAAATTAATTCTTATTGCGTCAAAAATCCTTTATTCCATAGGTCAGGGTATTACACGAGCTTCGTTCTCTTATGCTTCAGCTAGAGGAGCTCCTCCCATTTCTCCATCGACATTAAAAGAATGTCTGAATAATAATTTTCCTGAAGGGTGAATTCGAGAAGGTGGTTTAATTCGACAAGCTTTATTTTCACCCGCTTTGACACGTTTCGATGTTGTTTTTTTCTATAAGAACACAAAGACAAAGTCTACAAAACTCTTATCAAAAATATTACAGAATTAAACACGAAAATCGACAAAGAAATCAAATCAACTTCAAAAGAAGCTTTCTGTAATGTTTTTTTAAAATTTTTCATCAAAAATAGATGTATGTATTTTAGCTGATGGTAATTATTTTCAACATTTGTAAACGAAATGATATGAAACAAAACCTAAAGGCGTACACTATAGCACTACAAATAAAAATATAACTCATCTAAACTGTTTCAGAGTTATTCACGTAAACTATTCGATCGGACTTTTGGTAGACCCTATATATCTTACCAATCATTTCCTTGTTGATCAGGGAGACATGGAAATATTGAATGTGATTATTTATACCTCTATAAACATTAAATAGGACGTGTTTTCTTCTGTGTCACATGTCGGTGTTCAGTTCAGATACAATAATAAATAAGACTTAAGTCAATAAACAAAAAGAGAGAGAAATCTGATATTTACTAGGTAGATGTCTAATCCGAGTTCGAATATAATTGGAAATCTTTAAAACTTGATCAGCATCTCTTAGACAAAAGGTGAAAGATAAAATTTTGCCTGAATAATGATTTATAAATTATAAACGGACGATTAGCTGTCGAAGTCATCTTATAATGTAAATGTAGCAAAACAATTAAGAGTATGCTTAATCAGTAAAGAAGAGTTTTTTTCGTTTATCATTTATTATAGAAGTGATTGATGACGAAGACTTCACTTTATGTTTTTACAAGAAATCTTTTTTTCCTTAATGATCGATTACAAAAGTGATGAGTTATATGGACTTGCCTACAAGTTTCAGCGAAAAGTTCATTTTTTTTTCTTTTGTAAAATTCATGCGTGGATGAAGAGCGTACCCATTGTACTGGTCGGGAATAATATCCATAATAATAAATTCAGCCTTAAAAAGAACCATCTATTATATTTGATAAAGATATGCTGAGTGAGTATGAAAAAACTATTTCCACTATACTTTCCTCTGATATGGGAAATACTCACAACATAACCAGCGAAGAAGCTGCTCTACATACATCGTGACTAGTACTGTTTAAACTTTGTGTTAAATTGTTGTATTGACGAAGTTTATGAAACAAACGTCTTTTGTCAAATTGTTTTTTCCACCTCTCTCTCTTGCATGTTCTATTGAATTTGTTCAAATTAAATTTCTTGGAATTTTAAGTCAATGATGTTAATCTCTCTCTACACAAAAACCCAGTGTTCTAACGTCGATTATTGATAGCTTTCCAGTCATAAAAAGTTGTCTAAAACTAAAATTATTGACACATTCTGAGAGCTAGTAGCCAGTTCTACAATTCTAGCTGAAAAACCAATTGAAGGAAAAGCAACATGCGTTTAAAAATTGATTTTATTCTGCCAGATACCGTTGGAAAGCTAGGTATTTAACACTGTTACTATGATTTCTAAGAAACTACAACGGCTGGAACCTTCGATTGTTTTCGAAGTGAATGAGCACCTTTAGGTCAATCAATGAAAGAAATTACAAAATCGGTTAAGTAGAACTCCAGTTATGAGTACTTTTGTTTTCTAAACCACACGTTCTAATAGGCGTGCTCTGCACCCATATACATGATATATGGTACAAGCACGATGATTCCGTAACGTACACAAAGAGTTTTGTGCCTCGTGACTCTTCCAGAAGTATTTGACGCTTGAAATAAAAGGTCAGTTACTCGGGTAGAAGTGCTTTTGACAGCTGAATGGTTGCATTTATTATAATAAGTAATAAATAAAAGAGAGTCACGGTTTTTATGTGAATTGATAGTAATGTTTCCATGATTGATCATTTCTGTAAGACATGTTGTAAATCGATGCATTTGTGTTTTACTTCATTAGTTATTTTGGAAGTGATAAAACAAAACTTCTCAACGTAAATGTGTATTATAATTTGAACTAGACATGTCATGGTATTAAATGACAAATTATAATTCAGGCAAAAATTTTTCTTCTGTCTCTTGCCATAATCAAGCTCTGGTTTCGTGTTCTTTCATTTATTTTCGAATTAATATTAAGCAACTAGCGAGAACCTGTGCATACTGCACGGTCGCTGTTTTCTGTAGACTTTCACATTATGCTTCAGCCGTGGTTCGGAAACAGAAAATCAGAGACTCCACATTATATAAATAAATAGACCACACAGTTTTATTTTTTGTAAGCGTATACTCTTGTAGTATTACCTGCTTATAGGCGTATTTTCTTACTCATTTACGTCTTAATCCCCTATCTACCTGTGGCCTACTATGCCCTTATAGTTGCACCTCTCATACTCTTGCTCAATTACTCCCTTATAACTTATCCGCTCATATCCTTATCCTCGTATTCTCTTGTATTTCTATTCTTCAATCTCCTTCTACTCTTCTTACTCTATACTCCCATTTCCTATCTCCTTATTCCTTAAACATTATTCCCCTATATTCCTATCCTCTATCTTCCTATACCCTATGTCCCTATCTCCCTAGCCCCTATCCCCCTATGTTCCTATCTCCCTACTCTCTATCTCCCTATCTTATCCTTCTATTTCCCTATTTTCTTATCTGGCTGTCACCCTTTCCCTTAATCTTCTCACTCCCCTATCGCCCAAGCTGCCTATCCTTCGATCTTCCTATTCTCTTAACTTCCTACTCCCTACCTTCTCATCTCTCCATCTTTCTATTCCCCATCTTCTTATCTTCGTATTCTCAAATCTTCCTACCCTCCTATCTTCCTACCCTCCTATCTACCTATCCCCCTATCTCTCTATTCCCTTATCGTCCCCCCAATATGTCCCCAAATCTCCCTATCCTCCTATCTCTCGATTCCCTTGTCTTCGTAATCGCTATCTCTCTATCCCTATGTCAATATCCTCCTATCTTCCGAAACATATCCCTTTATCCTTATCTTACTACCACCTATCCGTTTGTGACCATTGACCTTTAGCCTTTTACCCGACACAGATACACACTGAACATTATATATATAGATAGATAGATACTCTATGTCCCTATAGCCTTATCTGCTTATCTTCATATACCTTGAAACTCTTACAACCTTTCACTTTTGTGCGTTATATATCTTCTAGTCTTATCACTTTATTGTCTTACCTCTTATTATTACAACACTCGTACTGTACTACCCCTTATTATCTACACATTTCCTTGTTTAATCCTGATTACCTACTTTCTTACTACCTTACACCCTTGAGGACCTGTGGGTACCTCTATACAATAGCCCTTGAGGACCCATAG